GCCGCGTCCGCCCATTCAAAACTACCCCCAGAATCCACCGGCGGATCCGGACGACACAAATCTAACTTTTGAAAACTTTACTTTTTCCCGCCGTTCTTATGATCCAATTAGATTGCCCGATTTATTCAGTCCTTAGTAGGTGACTTCCTGTTGACCTAGAAATGGCGATGTTTCGAAAAATCTTTCTCAATTCAACAGTGTTTAAGTCGTTTTTAGTGAACAAATCGTACAAAATGACGGCCAAATACAATCACAACGAAAATGTGGAGGAAATGGATTGCGATTTCGAGCTCTTTAGGCTCTTGGAAGCCGATAATGGTCATCGAAAATAGAAACTAGAATATTTTCTGAACTGAAAAGAAGAACATTCGATCTCTGCAAATTCAGTTTTGGATTCTGACCAGACGTTGAATCTCCCGAGGGGCGAAACGGCGGATTCTGGAGGAGTATTCATGGTATATTCAAGCCCAGTCGTGTTTATGTACGAAAAAAATTCATGAGAACATTTTTCTCATGAGCCACGCTAGTGTATCTTCCCTTTGTGAAAATTTTATCCAGATTCATTCAGTAGTTATTGAGATATTAATTATTTAGTCCAGGCATATCATTTTTGAAAAATAAGTCAGATGCGTGGGATATATTTGCTGAAATAAGTCGGAGTGCAGAAGGTTAAATAAAGTGTAGTTGTCATAGTAACACAATGTATTAAATCATTGATCCACATCATAACCATGTCTTGTGTAATCTGAAAATGCCAAATAGTATTAATTGTTTAGCTATGTGGAATTTGAAAAGTGTGCTTTATATATTCCAAGCCTTTGCTTACTAAGCTAGCTACACCCCAGCACCTTTATAATGTTACATTAACACATTGCTAGGCTTGAAATATCAAATTCCAAATAATCAAATCACAATATTTCAAATAATTTGATTTCTTAAAATTACAACCAAGCACTATGGCTATTTACAGAATCATTGAATTATTGAATTGATCATCAATTCATGCTACCACACTCATTCAAAGGTCTGAAAACAAGACATAATTTGTTAAATCAACCTACGAGTCATTGAACCGCAGGCTTAAATCCTTAAGTATTAACACTGAAATGACACATCATATTTTTATTTTTTTATTTTTCAGGAAAGTATGCTAATTAATCACATTTAATAGCTTTCTATTAGTGACAACAATTCCATTAAGTTTCAATTTGTACAACTTATTCTATTTTCTCCCAGATTAACATTTTTCATTTCATCTTGCCATACAAGGAACTCGTGGGTAATGAATACTTCCACTTTAAAAGTAATTGATGACACACATAAATCAATTTGCATTGAGAGAAATGCTTTAATACTAACAGCATTCACATTTCTCATTCCAGAGGAATGCCCTTTGTTTCTAGATTTCAAATGTGTTTTTGGTCTAATCTATTATAAAAAAAATTCTGAACAATTTATTATAAAGCCATCAATTTGCCTCCAAATCATACCTAGATCTCGTAATTGCTGGAAATGAAAAGCATACCGTTAATTCTGTTTAATGTAGAGCTGTAACAAAATTCCATATTAACTAACTGCAACTTGGCTTATATTCTTGGCTAAAATATTCATAAAGAAAAGTGTAAACCTAGAGTCAGAGCACAATTCGTGTCAACTGAAATGTATGAGTATACATGACAGCATATGAAGGCATTAACACTGTCAATACACAGATGGAAACAAATCTTCAATGGTCTGTCTCAAATCAAAAAAGAAAACATTGACAAATTAGAAATATATACCGGTACATATAAACAGACTTGAGCATTGACCAAAACTTTTCTTTGAACAGTTAAAAATGTGCAGTGAAATAAATGATCCTCCATGTACTGCATTCATCAATGTACGAATCTTCCACATGTCCACCACAAGGTCACACGTTATCTCTTCGAGTTTCTTAAAGAGGGCTGCATCAAAACCCTTTGGATAAAAAATAACCAATCAGACCTGATGGTTCAAAAAGAACTCCCCGATTCATGTTCCAAGTGCTGTGTTTTCTGTCTTCATTTCATATTCAAACTTCTTCAAGCTGTGCTTGGGGCCATTGGAACTTATCATCAGCATCACACCTGTAAATCGGTTTTCCTCAGAGGTTGGAATTGCATTGCAGACCTCAGGGTGCGGAGTCAGTAATAACACGTAATAACACACTAATAAAGTGACTCCCACTGATTCTTATGAAACTTAAATTGGCCATGTTTTCTTCAATCAACCAAATTCATACAATTTCTATTAGTTCAACTTCGCTTCTTAAAAGACAGCTTCGGCTTCATCTTACTTTTTGCTAATCTCTACACTCAAGGTACCAAAGTGACTTATCAACTATAGTTTCACCGTAAAATGAATCCAAATCATCACTAACATCTTCATGCAAATAACAAATACAAATAGGGTATGGTTAATATTCTCTCAATTTATTTTACTTATTGCAATTCTTGCATTAAGGGGATGACTCAACCTTGAGGATGGCTAAACTGAATTTTTGTGCTGATCCCTAAAGCAAGTACAGTGAGACAAACTGCGAAATGTTAACCTTAAAGTCACTGTCTCGATCAATGATCTTGATCATTTATGATCTTGTGATCATTCTCTCATTAGCTAAATCTTATATGCAACTCCTCTAATTGTTCTTACTACTTTACATATATATAATATTAATTTTCATTAATTTCATTATTTAAGAAAATATTTACATTACAAAGGTATACAATGATATAAATCAAGTATGTCGCCATCTCTATCTCAGCTACTTGCATACAAAATTTTCCGAAAATATTGCAGTAAATCTTTTTCCAAATTTTCTTGATACCGAGTAAATTTTGGTTATTGTAAACTTTGTGGTAGAACTCCTCAAACTGGTTACAATAACGGATTGGTTTTGGTAACAATATGGTGCAGATTCGAAAGTTCAATTTTTACAATGATTTTACGAGATGGAGGCAGAATTTTCACGACCTTTTGGAACAGACATGTGTGAGCAAGAAAATCTAAGCCTCTGCAAGAAAAAAGTTCACAAGACGCTAAAATCATCAATATAATTCCCCACTTTTGTTCAGGGGTTTCACTAGAATTTCTCACAACAGGCTGAATAAAAAAAAACAATGTACAAAATTAATGAAAATCTTAAATTTAACATGAAAAAGTTGAAAAGTCGCTAAAAACAACAGGCAATTTTGTGAAAACATCTGGTGAAAATCGCCTGTTGCCTGCTGCTAATGAAACACCTGATGTTGAATAAACGGTTAACATTCACAGTTTTTATCTTTCCTGTTAACGTAATAATAGAGTGGAATTGTTTTGATCATTCCCGTGTTACATAAACTAATTCATTTGCTTACGCTTAATTGATCTGAAAAACATGATGCTGACAAATGTTTGTGTCAAAAAAGTTCTGAAAATTCTGCCTAAATCTCATGAAATCATGAAAAAAACATACTTTCAAGTCTTTGACATTTTGTTACCTAAGAAGATCTGTTTTTGTCACCGCAAGTTTGAAAGATTTCAAAACAGTGGTAAATTGATTTTCCATGTTTATGAGGAGAAATTTGAAAAAAGTTTTTTTGGCCCACCCTGTATTTCAAATCATCAGATCTATGCCTCATCAAATTCTAATGAGCCGATGACCCATAATCTGTTGGATTCCTGAATATATTGTGTGATTTCAATGGCTACATACTTGTTTTAATCATTGGTTGCCAACTCAACATGCCAATTACATGTGATTGTGTCTTTGTTGTTAATGTGTTGTGTTTTGGTAAAAGTGTTTATTTATCAGGTTTTTAATAATTTGTGGATTTGTAGAGTGTTGCATACTTCAAAATTTACTCAGTGAAGGCAAATGGCACAAAATAAATTTAAACTATTTTTTGTTTTACCGAAGAGGATCAAAATCAGAATTGGAATTTGAAGGTTGTTTTCACAAGTTATTGCTCTTCCAAAAAAAAGCAGAAATTTAATTGCTCAATGACCCTTTTAACATCCTTTGACATCATTATTTTGACATACAATAAGTAAATTTGATAAGGTGGGTTGGATAATTAACTGGACTGATCTATAATCATTGTTTGTGTCTAGAAGCTATGTGACAAAGTGTTTTGCACTGTGTAGACAGCTGAAGATGAACTTTGATACTGTAAAATGGTGGTGTATACAATGATGGTGTAAAGTGATGGCGTGTATACAATGATGGTGTATACAATGATGGTGTAAAATGATTGATGGTGTATACAACGGTGGTGTAAAATGATTGATGGTGTATACAATGATGGTGTATGTACAGTGGTGGTGTCATATACATGAATCTTGCATCAAAGCATTAATTTCTGAAATCCAGCCAGTCTGTTCAATTCCTCTCTGACAATCTTACTTAATTTATTCCCAATGATCCCATTCTCACAGGGAAATGATGTCATTCAATTGAAATTAAGATGAACCAGTATAGAATGGTACATGTAAAAATTCATAGATGAATAGACAGAGGATAGCATCCTCCGATCACAGGGCTTCAAAATCCAGGATATATTCTTTCTTTTTACCCCCTGCGATAAGCAGTTAGCATTTCCCCGATTAAGAACTCGCAATCTGATTGGCTGTCGCAACATTGCAACAGAAATCATGTATGATTAGATCGCATGGTTCAGTTAAATCGGGAGCTTCCAAATTGGTTATAGCAGGGGGAAGAAGGAGGAACAGATTCTGGACACCTGCTTAAGAGGATGGAGTATAGAGGAATTTATAGATTTAAACTTATCGTTATGCATTAAGTTGAATCTATACAGGTTTGGTTCATCTAAGAAAAGTTTACCGATTATTTCAGGGATATTTCCCCCTCTCATATATTCAAATGTTGCCCCTTTAGGTTGAGTGTTGATGAGTGAATCCTTGATGCAAGATAACTTGTAATAGTGTGCATATAATTTGACATATATCGAGTTGGCAAAAGTGAGGAAAATCATATTCACCTGTATTTGGATTTATTGTGTTATCAGCTGATGAATCTAAAGTGTTATCTCCCATCCAGCTAGCACCTGCGGTTGAGTCACCGTCATATCCACCTCCTTCTTCTTCCTCGTCATCATCATCTAGTTCTATAGTAATAGGTTCTTCTTGTTTAATGTTAACATTGTCCATATTTTGTTCAGTAGCACCTGTTGTTTGATCAAGTTTTTGTTGTTTATCCGATGATTGGTCGTGAGTGTCTTGCGGAGTGTCTTCAGATATGGATCGTTTGATGCCTTTTGGGGAGGAAGGTGGCTCCTCTGAAAAACATATCCGAATGAAGCACATTGAAAAGTAAATTTCAAAAGGTCAGTTTCTAGATTGAGCACTCATTACTCAACACTCTTACACAGCATTGTATTCTCTAAGGGCTGAGAAGTATGACAGTGTGTCAAGAATAACTTAATCGTCACTAAATGTAATTTCACTAAATTTATACTAAATAGGAATGAAATTGACGACTAACTAGACAAATATGAGTTTTCTTTCATAAACTTGTTGAATCAATTTCTATGAATATGTAATTGTTTGATTGTTAATGACCAAGAATTTATATTTTGTAAACTTCGCATCTAAATGAATTTCATCCTTTACCTTTTATTGTAAATTCATCAGAATCTCCCACTCTGCCTCCAGGTGTTTCTTGTGTAGCACTTGGAATTTGTGGGTTAATACTTGACATGGAAGAGTTAATAGAAGGTTGTGTAGGATAACCATATGAACTTGGAGGTGCTGTTACAGGAGTTCTGTTAATATTATTGTCTCTACTCATCGGTATCCGTTGCCTTTGAGGGGTACTGTGTTGATTTGGTCGATGATGACTGGGGTCTTGAAATTGCCTAGGTGTTCTTATAGTCTGGTTAAATCCAAAGTCTGAGATAGTGTCATGGTCCTGAGAGTATAATCCGGGGCTCTGTTGAGCTTGGTTTGGTTTCACAATTGTTCGATGCATCTTTACAACTATTTCCTTCGCTTCTTCCCCAGGGGAGACACATATTATCCCATCAATCTCGAGCGATTTACTAAATACAACATTCTGTGTGCAAAGTTTAAGAACTGCATCCTGGATGACTTTCGTCAGTAGTTCACTCGTAGTTTCCATTTTATCTGTCTATCAATCAATGTTATTTCTACCTGAAATATGAAGATACATTTCACAATTAATCACACAATTGATGAAATGTATAATATAACATTTGTTTATAGAAAATTTGACAAAACAAATAGGTACATTTATTGTGTGTCTCATACTGCACTGTTTTTCTTCAAAATTATTCCATTCAAAGCAAAACAAAATTGCCTTTCTGTTGGTGCATTGATTTATGGTAAAGAGAGAGATAGAAAGCTAAACCACAAAAGTACTTGATGAAAACTGCACTGCACTGTCATGGGCGTAGCGCTATTTTTCTAAGTAGTACGCCACAGCTGGAACAAGAGTTGAGCGAAGCAAAAAACGAGCGTTTAGGGGGGTCTAAGGGGTTCTCCCCCTAAAAAATGTTGGTATTTGGTTGTCTTTGGAGCGAATTTGCATCCATCTGGTACGCCTGTGCGTACCCAGCGTAACGGACTGTCTGCCTATGACTGTCTGAAGATTTGATTTTGAATCACAGGTGCACCATGGGAATAAGAGTATGTGGCCGTCCTGCAATGTATATAAGGGACCCACACTTTTATTACCCATGGTCCACGTGCAAGGCGAACAGATCTACAATTTTTGGCTTGCCTGACTTTACACAAAGAAACGCCATATCTCTAAAATCTGTCTAGACATTATGCAAAACATCCATGAATTTGAACTTTAAATGAAATATATTTAAAATCAGTTTTGGTATTATTTATCGGCAATCTTACCGTACAAACGCAATACAATGAGATGGCATTTCTTCCTTTCTTCTTCAATTGGTTGTGGCGTGTCATGAATTCAATTATAACGTTATTGCATTACTTATACGAACGATGTAAATAGTTAAAATCGAATTGTGTTCGTACTTTTCTACATCTACATCAATAATCTTCAAAGGGCCATTCTTATTTCTGAAAGTACCAGTACCTTATCAGTCAAAATGGAACACGAGTCATATTCTTTAGAATAAGATGGGCCGAATAATGGTATACAAGACAATAACAAAATGGAAGTGAATAAAAATTCAGTTTTCAGGGCAGTATTTTGATATTTCAAAAACAAGACTGCATAAAAAAGATGTGTTTTATTAATTGTTAATAAGTATTGCTCTGCACGGCCTACATATACACATGATTGCATAGACGAAAACATGAGTTTTTAGAAATTACTACTCAAATGTTATGAAGACCTAAACTTAGACCTCTGTTTTCTCAATATCAGCGAAAATGCGGAAATAATGGGACGACATTGTATGGTACACTCATGCTGATCTATCAATAGTTTATTTAGCATTTTATTCAATATTTAATATGAGAAATATCTCGGAAGTGGAACATTTTTGGGCGTAACTAAGAGCATATCGATTACAAGTCAGCCAAATAAAAATGTAAAATATACAAGTTGGGCCAAAAAGTTCATATTTTTTATTTCTATATAACATTTTTGAAAAAGCATGGATTTCAATAACATTTTGACAGGGTATGCACAAATAAATTGTTCTTGAAGTGGGATGAATAAATCTCTGGGGATGGGATTTTTTCGAGTAGTAATGTTAAACAGACACTCTGTTTGGAAAATTAAAGATTTCAGCAGAATGTTATTCGAAGCAACAATTTTATAAACTGGTATTAGACGTGCCTCAAATTAAAGTACCAGATTGACATATTAGTCAGTCTATCAGAAAAAACATATTGGATAGGGTCTTCAGTATATTCGTAATTTCCAGAAAAATGATTCAGAATCAAGAGAAAGCAGTGATTTGGGAAATTTGTCTTTACAACATCGATATGGTGCTTGATTGAGCCCAAATATTAAAGAACTTATTTCTTCATTGTCCTTTAAGACTCATATCAATACTAAATAATATGAATTACATCATACATAACATGTTTCTCTGGCTTGATGTATAAACTTGAAAGCCGATCTCGAAATGTATATGAGGCATGACTATTGTATAAAATGTTGCTTTGGATTTCATCATGAAATCTGTAATTTGTATATAGATCCCCTGTCTGTTTACCTTCATTTTTCCAAAAAAAACTTAAGATTTATTTATTCAAATTTTCGAACATTTGTGAACCAATCTCACTGAATTGATAATTATTGTCCGCATTTCGTTATTTTTTTAAAAAAATAATGAAAATGTACGTGATAATGAGTGTTATGTTCTTCATTGTCTTCTACCTAGTATGTTAAACCCCTCGTGGGTACGTAAAGAGCCTGGTTGAAGGCAGAAGGCGTCGATTAGTTGAAAAGCTGAAGGCGGTAATTAATTCTGCTATTAGACATTTTAATTCTTCAAAACAACTTGGTGCGACTTGGTGCAAAGAGCAATAACCAAAAGACTGTTTTGTTAAGACATATCTTAGATATTTTGTCACATCCACACCAGGAAGAAACAGGGGCCGATCATATTTCATAATGCCGCCAGCAAGGGATCTAGAGACGGTGGTGTGGCCACTCATACTTCTGAACATGGTAGCGGGCGTTATTCTGACCACACTCTTTATGAATGCGCTTCGGGGCGAAAAACAATGGCGGGGTTTACTTACTTATTAGCGCGGGAGGGTTCTGTTTGCTTTGCAGCAAAGTTGGCATGCATCTCGGGATGGTGGCCATTTTGAATGTTCCGTCATTTTTTGTAAACCATCTGTTCAAAATAATGGCTAAATCAAATATTATAGTCATGTTGGCAGAAAAAATAATCATGTAGGGAAGAATTATGAAATTAAACACTTAGGAACTTATGTCATTTCTTCAGCGTCTTTATTCGATTTTTTCGGTTTTATGTTTGATATTTATTTTTCGTTTAAATTTTCACTTTTCAATTCAAACTTTTGTTCAATCTTATGAATTCCATGTTTGATAAATTATAATTATTGTTTGATATCGCACTCTTCAATTCAAACTTTTAACGTTTTTGTACAATTCTTAGTAACGTTTATTTAAAAGTCTTCAATAATATTTGATATTTCAAAGTTACAATTACACGTCTCATCCATGTTTAAATCAATTTTAAAACTAGCTTATTTATATATTTCAAACTGTGAAAAAAGATTTGTAAACATCAATAACACAAAATCATGATGTTAAACACTGAAAAAGTCTTTCATTGCAGGATCAATGGTAGCTTCGGTGTTCAATTTTCAGCATTCAAAAAGATTGAAACTAAAATTCCAAAGTCTTATTTATTCAATTTTCGATTCAAAAGTTTAAACCAAGTTCGAACCAAAATGGTCTAATAGTGTTCGAACTAAGAAATCAACACACTTGTAAGATCATTTTTCTATTCAAACAGTTCTGCATTCTGGATTCTGTTAGAATAGAAAAATGAAAAGTTAAAATATGAAAAATCTACATAGGTTCGGGCTGCAGAATACCGTTTAAAGGAGAAAGAGTCGAAGGCATGCGAGGCGAATCCTGGAAACCCGGGTTTGGGAAACCAGGGTTCACTGTTTGTTTCCGTTGACAAGTGTGCGAAACTACATTCATAATTCATACGAGAGTGAACAGGAGGTTTACAGTCAGACCCGGGTGCGCCAATCCCTTATTTAAATGTTTGTTTAGCGGACCATGCTTTAAGGCCATTCCAAACGAAATAAGTATTTAATGATGCCACAAAATATAAAAGTTTGTTTTATTAGAAATTTTGTTTCGCGGACCATGCTTTAAGGCCATTCCAAACGAAATAAGTATTCAATAAGGCCACGAAATATAAAAGTTCGTTTTACTAGAATTTTATACGTGTTATTTTGTATCTACCAAGACGTTAAACATATTGGAAATAGTTACGTATTATGACTGGTCTAAAATGTGCAAAGCTAGAAGACCCCTTATACTCGTTCGTTCCCTATTTTGACTAAGATAATATATCAGTACAACGGCTACTAAAACAAGGAAAATTGGCCAGTAGAGATGACGAACTTGAAACAAATTAATTTTTATTCAAATATATGAATAATATTTGATTTAAATACAATTCCACGCTATTACCACCCTCCAGTGTTGCAATTTCTATTGTGTCTGTCTGGGATAAAATCTTACATATTACAATTGATAATGAGGAACCCTTCAAATAAAACCAATTAAATCCAGGTTTGAAAACTCGCGAAAATAACACGAACGAGTCTAATTATGAACCGTTCACATTTTTGCAAAGGCGGATTTGGATGACGTCAAACCCGGGTTTTGAGGGCGCTTATGGCAACGAGTACTTCTGGTCTAAAGGGTTCCGATAAGCTTCCCGTATAAAAAACAATATGGCGGCTCCAGGCGAGTCAACTGGATCAGTCCATATTTAAGAAATAAGGGGAGTTTTGTAAAAATCCAGTTAATTGAAATTGTCTTGGAGATGATCCGTTTATAATGATTCTGAAAACATTAATGAGAAAGTGACTGTTCACAGAATGCATGTACAACAGCCAATATAAATCTTTGTTTTAGAACTACTTTGTTTCATTTGGAGGATATTTCATATGCCAAGCTGCATGTGCACTAATTAACGTTATGGGGAATTTTAGATGTCAATTTTTCCTTATTATACACAAATAGAAGATCCCGAAAGTTCACCCATAAATGTGAAATTGATTTGTCAAAATAAAAATATCCCTTTATAAATGTGTGACGATCAATAATATACTAATGCTACATATAACAGTTAGAGGTGTTGACACAATGACCTCGAGCCTGTGAACCCTTGAGTATAATTCGGGATCGGGCCTTAACGGTGAGCAACGTCAGATACGAGCGTTCACTTTGCTAAACGATATGTGTCACCCTTTAAATACTTTATAAAATAAACACGTTTTTGTAAAAGAAAATCTATGTTATGCAATGAAATTTCATAATCTTTTGTAAGGAATACCTCCCAATACCCCGCAACATTTTTGGGTGCACCAAGGGCTTTCCGATTAAGTAAGTTTTGTCGTATTATAATGAGTATAGAGTTTTTGAATTGGCATTTTCAATCTGTGCTACATGTGAATCTTTAATAATCAATAATTTGAATAAAAATGATATGATATTAACTTTGAATCGTTCACTAATGTCTTGGTCACATTTGCCCCGATTTTCACTACGGCACCCGGGCGATTGAGTATTTTGTTCAAAATTGAATACAATATTGAAAAAACACTCAATCGACCGGGCGCCGACCGATGGATCGGAGCAAATGTGACCCAGGCATTTATCTGTGATTAGTGTCTGCGTTTTATTGTTTTTTGAACGAAAATAATAAATCAACGTGTTAATACGTGCTAATGTCCCCCTCATGTTATTGTCGTCAAACGTGGCCAGGCAATGCTGCTATGAAAAGAGCCAAGTTGAATGAAGATGTGATGTTGAAGGCGCTAATAAATCTTGTAATTAACCTCTTCAAAACAACGTGTCTTGGTGCAAAGAGCAATTACCGAGAGAAGGGGTAGTATTAGGAATATTTAAGACTGATATTAAGAGATGTTCTCACATTGGCGAAAACTTTTCGAGACAATAACAAATTGTATAACCAGCGGGTATTGGTGTTACTTAAGATCTGAACGTTAGAGATTACTGTCACTTGTTAGGCTAGTTCGTTCCTCGACACAACTATAAACACCCACCTCAAAATAACTAGGACTGATTTCATCATGCCAGCAAGAGATCTTGTGACATTGATGTCGCCGCTTATACTTCTTAACATGGTGGCGAGCGTTGTTTTAAACGCGCTCTTTGTGAGTGCAATTCGACGCGAGAGGCAACTACGGACTTTACTCGCCACACTCTTCTTGTCGAACATGATAGGCGTCGTCTTGATGTCCCTCGTCTCGCAACCAGTTGGTTTTGGACATACCAAAAATGTTGAAGAACATCGGCGTAAAGCTTTGATAACAGGTAAAAAAAAAATTGGAGGAAATTGTCAATCATTTGACGTGGTGTAACTAGGCCTACTAGATGCACCCAGTAAGCTAGAGCACCCACTTGCATTTAACAGATATACTTAGCAAAATATTATTTTAGTGAAAAAAACGATCCAATTTCGCACTACAACTGACTTACACTTTAATCAACTTGTGACAATGGATTGTCAATTATGCATATTTCCCTTTAGCGCCTTGTCTAGTTATTCAAAGATACTCTCTATTTCAGATTCGATGGAAATGTTCTTTGCTGTTGTCAACAGCACGTTGATGTGTTCAATTGCGGCTATGCGTATTAAAATAATCACAAGCAAATTCGCCGTTGGGACTTCTCCTATTGTCTCGAAGATATCTCTGGGTTGCGTGGCCTTCTCTATACTATATGGCGTGACATGTGCAATATGCTCTGTTTCTCCATCGATCTTTTCCAATCATCAGGGTTCCTCGAATAATTCCAAACTACCTAATTTGATCGATGATGAAGATCACGTTAGCGTTAGTGCGAAGGTTTATCGTAAAAACAAACTGATTACTGAGTTTTGTAGTGTTTCATTCGGTATTCTTGTACCGTCAATTATAACAGTGTTAGTATACGTGAATATAATATTGATAAGCAAAAGGCGCATTGCTGTAATGGAATACAGTTCTCCTGTTATTGAAAATGTAACTCTTTCAATAACTGGGAGACGGAACATAAACATTGCCCCATTAGAACTACCCGTGTCTTCGAACGCTTCAAACTATGATCGTTCCAGTTTCCAGAATAATCCAACAAATAACATACATCCTCACCAAGCTAAAAACGCCATCAACAATCTTGCTACCCCACATGTACATGAGCATGGTAGGCGGTTTGGCCTTGACATAGGCAAACTAAAAAGACTGTCCACGAAAAGGAAGAGTCGAGGCCGTGACTGCAATTTAGTACGCTCTGGCCAAATAAAATTGGATGGTCCAACAGTTTTATCGATACAAGGAGAAAGCACTCTTGCCAGATCGACGCTAAATGAAGAGCAATCTTTTCGGAGCAGATCTACAGTAACACGCTGCAAAAATAATCCAAGGTATCGTCACTATCGAAAAGCAGTGGAACGCAGCATTATCATTATTGTACATGTTTTTTTGTTCAATCTATTATACGTGGCGCTACGCATTGCTGGTGTGACGCAAAAAAGCGAGGTCTTGCGATGTTTTGCGACGTACATTTTTCTTGTTGGTATCACAATCATGCCAATAACATTTGGAATATTGGGTAAAGAACGTCGTGACATCATCAAAGAAACTGTGAAAAAAACTTCTGACAGATTATCTCGTTTCTTTGCAATTAGGAATCCCACTGTAATTCCCGAAACTATTACATATATAGCTACCCCTGGTTCTACTCCCGCCTTACTGCTGTCAACGATAGGGGAACAAGCTGTAGAAGAAGATCTAACAAGCAACGGTCCTATCACGTGTGAATCGCAAGCGAAAAGTGTCCGGACGCTCTCGGTCAATGAATTCAAAAAAACTTACAACACAAAAAGTTCAGCACTTGGTAGAATTTCTCAATCTGAGTTGATGAAGCGAAGATTTCGCTTCTTATTTTCAGATATTGGAACCACAGCTTCGTCTGACAATATTGTTGGGCATTCGAGTAGATCAATCGCCAGTACAATCCGATCAAGATCTAGGCAAGGCTCAATAGAGAGTAGATACCCGCATACTCCGGGCAGTAAATCAATCATGTCATGTCTCACCGTTACACCAAACATTTCGACGCCATCAAATGCTCTGTCACCAATGACGCCAACTTATGCTCTGTCACCTATGACGCCAACATATGTTTTGTCTCCTTTCAGAACAAGTCCAGGCCTGTCGTTTCTTGGAACAGAATATATCCCTCCAAATGCATGGTCAGAAAAGCATCTCCAGACATTCGTTTCAAATGTGAAAGGGTCACCTTCCTTCAATACATAAACGACTAGAGCCTGCACGTGGTCACAGATGTCCTTTTAAATTGGACTGTATTCTTTATTCACAAGTTTTCAGTTTCTCAAAGTTCACCTTGATATCTATAGTATTTAATTCAATTGCGCAAAGGAACCACAATGCTAATGACACTTTCATAGCAAAAAATGTTCACTTATCCCCAGTTTGAATATACAAGGCAAACAAATGAAACTCGAATTTATAAGTGGGATTTCTCTTGGAACAGTATTTGGACACCTTTGATTGATGTTACAACACCACGCAGTAGCACGAAAAAAGGTGTGTCAAAAGTTAAAATCACCTTTGAGGTCGAAGATGTTTGACTAAATGGTATCATATTTCTTTCCAGGAATGCCAAATTACATCGTTAAACACTGAGGACATCAATCTACCAAACGCATTAATTTGATTGACAATTTTGTACAAAGCGTTGTTGCTCAACCTCCAAAATCAAACAGCTGAGTTATAAACATACATGTACCAAAATATATTGTTTATTTATTGTGTTACCACCGTTTTCTGCTGTCATTGTATATATTACTTACAATCTCTTCGAAAGAGAGCTGGTCTTATTGTGCAAATTTTAAAGTTTAGAAATGTTTCATCTTAGGACCGCAATAAATGCAGTTGATACTTAATTTTATGTAGTAGATTGTCAACAAGGTGTCCGTCTGTTTTGCTTTAACTCAATACTTTTGCTCTGGGTAAATAATTAGAAATATAAAGAGCTCCCAAATAAAAATAAACAGTTCCTGAGTTGTTTTTGTACATTTTCATAATTTATTTCAATAATCTCAAATTGTTTTTATGAAGTATTTGTTTTTTGTATATTTAGTGAAATAAAAATAGTATATGTTTTTCATCGCACGATACTGGGGACAATGATCAAAACGAATATGGGTTTGAGAGACAAAACAAGTCTTCATGAAGTTGTAGACCGCAAACGGCCTTATATGTTAAACACTTTTTACTATCAACAAATAATCTCTCAAAAATTGATTTTCTTGAAATCTAATGCGTCGTTGTAAAATTGGTATATCGCATTTCAAATTTCTGAGAAAATGTGTGAAAAAGCGTGCATAAATACACCAAAATAATATGATTAAGATTTGACGAGCCTCTCTGATCTTTCTTCGCACTATGATTTTATTTTTTATACAAACAATTTACAAAATACAATCACCAAAAATGTTTAAAATAAGCGGCAATTTTATGATTGCATAAGATAATCCTTATTCGATACATAAGTTGACACCAAATTGGAAAATACCTCTTAGTTTTGTTATTGTCCCCATGTTCGTGTGCGTCATATACTTACATTTATCCCATACTTGAACGTGTTATAGGTACATAACCCTACTATCACACCAAATTAGTTTTCACTACGTTCTCGAAAACGGGCTTCAACCGTGTACGAACGGACTGGACGTACCTAGAACCGTTTGGGGTCTATTTATAAACTTCATCGAACGTACTCGAACGGGTAGGTCCCCTAGAACTTAGAACATGCTCAAAATGTTCTCGTGGTCGATACGTTCTACAATTAGAACGAGTGACAACGTACTAACGACGAGCTTGACGTACTACGAACCGAAACGTCGTACTTCAATCCTACTAGGGACGTTTTAACAACGAGTTGAACTGTCTGAGGACGTATTGAGAATGGGTTTAAACTGATTGAGAACGTATTTAAGACTGCTTGTGAACGAATTGGCAAAAATATAGCTATCACACCAAACAAGTTGCCACTGCGTTCTTCAAAATTGGTTTTAAACTGTGTGCGAACGGAATAAACGTAGCTGCAACTTTCTAAGGTCTACTTTCGAACTTCGTGAACGTTTTCAGACGGGAAGGTGATCTTAGAATTTTGAATCGATTCAAAATTCGATGGCGACCATACCGTTCTGTAATCAGGTCATGATGACCTTCTAGACTAAGGGACGCGTTATACGACGTTGCACACCGACGTGGTGCGACCTGAACGAGCTGCGAATGAGATGGACGTATTGAAGACTGTTTATGAACGAAGTAGCTAATTATTTTAAACATATTTCCCGGCCACAGCCAGATTGAGCCCGTTTTACGACTTTTTCGTAGGACTGGCAAGAACGAGTAAGAACTGGTTTGGTGTGATAGGGGGGTAAAGCCGGTTTGTAAAAACTTATATTTTCATCAGCGGGCAGATATAGCTTTACGTCCCGCTCTGAGCAGGCAGATATAGTAAATCTGCCCGCTACGTCATTATCGCCGCTCGCATATTTGTTCATAATTTGTACCGTTCGCGTAATGACTGTAAACGACAATGGAGAAAACACAGATAATCGGGATCTGTTTCATGGTTTAAAAAAGGGAAGGAGCATCCACTTAATCAATCAAAAATTCGAGAAAATAAATGTGGGAATATTTGAGGGAACAGGAAAATCCGCCCACGGCCAAGAAAACAAAACTGGACATGAATATTCTAAAATATTTCCACGATTGAACAATGTGTACCGGATGACCAAGATTGGTATGAGATAAACATATTATCCTATAGTCGGTTCAGGATATTGGGATTATCCCTTGGCCAATATAATATATTTTCCCTCGGGACCTGCGGCCCTCGGGCAAATATATTATATTAGCCTCGGGATAATCCCAATATCCTGAACCTCATATAGGATAATCTCTATATATCTAAAGGCAAAGTTTTTTATTTGTGTACTTACATTAAAAACACAACATCGCCAACATATACTTTTTGCCCTTGTACTATTGATTTCAAAGGAAGTATAAAAATCGACCATAAACAAGTCCTATTGGACGACTTTCTGAAAAAAGGGAAGATACAAATTGTATGGATGAGGCGAGTTTGATGAATCGATATCATTATTATACAGTGTGTCTCAAAAAAAATGTTACACTCACAAAAAGTTCAATATCTTTCATAATTTTTATTTTTCCCTAAAATATACTTTGGATACCAAAAGACAAATCTTTTTCGAATAATTTGACACCATCAAATTCAAAATCTGTCATTGATTGGCTCCATATGACAGCTTTTAGTGTCCAATGGTAAAATCTGACTTGCGCCAACTTCTAAGTGATTGGATGGACCAAATGACAAAAGAGTAACAGTTTCTTTAATATTTAACTTTCTTCTGAGTAGAAGCTTGACCTTAAACTGAGTCATTGTGTAATTTTCTTATTTGTCTTACATATGACAATTGAGTCTATCCACATAAACATGGGGTCCCCTCAACATGTTCTCCAAAGCAAATCTGAGGTACCCTTGCCCATGCACACATGGATTGCAATGTCACTCTGATTCTATCAATTATTTCTGCAGAAGTTCATTTAGGTCAGTTTGTGATGCCCTAAACCGCTTTCAGAGGCTCTTCAAAAACTCAAGGGTGTAAAGTGGGATGACCCTCCAATCCATTGGGTAATTCAATGCTATCTTCTGATTTCCAAAGAATTCTACCAAACGATCTGCCACAGGCCTTTGCACAATCCTGTTGCCATCGATCATACGTAACAAAATTGAACACTCTGACAATGAAATCTTGTATTTCTATCCAGGAAAGAAACAACTGGATCATTGATCATATCAAGATATTACTGTCCACAGCATTCACACCAAAAAAGAATTGATCACCACATGTCCAGCCACTGAGAAATTGGCGCAAATCAGATTTCACATGCGTCTATAAAATCTGTCCAGTGCAGTCAATCTTGGACGGATTTTGAATCTGATGGTGTGAATTTATTCGAGAAAGAATGGTCTTATTGTATCTAAGTATATTTTAGGGGAAACGTCGAAATCATGAAAGATATTGAACTTTTTGTAAGTGTAACATTTTTTTTGAGACACACTGTAGAGAAAAACATTAATTTATAGCAAAGACACTCTTAAACGGTTTTCAAAATGTATTATATGTCACCTGTTGTTTGTAACACACGCCAGGACGTCAAAGCAATGTAAACATGAAGATATCTTTTGAAAACTGTTTTAACAGAGTGTCTTTGCGTTTCTCTATAAATAAAGATATAGAGAAACACTAGAATTCAAAGAAAAGTCACTCTGTTGTAACAGCCTCAAAACATGGTTGGTAACGCATTACATTAAGCAAACTGAACACTTTGCTACGTTAACTCATGTTGGGTAGCGCATAACATTTAGCAAATTGAACACTTGTTATCTAAACGCATATTGGGTATCGCATAACGTTTAGGGAATTGAACACTTGTGACATTAACACGATCATGTTTGGTAAAGCATAACGTTTAGGGAATTGAACACTTGTAATATAAACACACGTTTGGTAAAGCATAACGTTTAGGGAATTGAACACTTGTAATATAAACACACGTTTGGTAAAGCATAACGTTTAGGGAATTGAACACTTGTAATATAAACACACGTTTGGTAACGCATAACATTAAGCTGACAGAACACTTGTTATCTTAACACATTTTGGGTAACGCATAACATTAAGCAATTTGAACACTTGTAATTTGAACAAATATTAGGTAACGTATAACACTTCGCAGATTGAATACCTGTAATCTTAACACATGTTTGGTAACGCATTACATTTAGCAAATCGAACACTTAAAATCTAAAATAAAATATTTCGTATCCTTATCAATATTGTGTACTAGTCTTATCTTAATATTGCAGCAGCAACATTTCCATCTGTTTAAACATTTTATTTGGTCGCGAGATAGGGAATATCTTTCAGAAACGACAGGTTATAGAATTGCACGTATTGACACAGAATATAGTGTAACGACCCTTGGGCACGCTCGTCGGGGAGCTGTAGTGTACCGAGCCAGATACTAGACTCGAAAGAGAATGTGCTAAACTCAATGCCCCATACGGGAATTCGAGTCAGACGCTCTACCCCTGAGCCATAAGGGCTAGCCACTACAGCTGAGACTGTAGTAGCGACTTGCTATCGAAGGTCATTACAATAGTAACACCCAGTTAGGTAACTTGTTTGTTAAGTTAAGAGCCTGCGAGAAAACAGACAATTAGTAAGCGAATGTTGTTAATTTTCATTGCGTATTACAAAGTACCCCACACACATTGCCCCGAACTTTGTTGCAAGAAAAATATTTTACTTGGTCGCGAGATAGGGAATATCTTTCAGAAACGATGGGTTATAGAATTGCACGTATTGACACAGGATATAGTAACACCCAGTTAGGTAACTTGTTTGTTAAGTTAAGAGCCTGCGAGAAAACAGACAATTAGCAAGCGAATGTTGTTAATTTTCATTGCGTATTACAAAGTACCCCACACACATTGCCCCTTACTGTGATGCAGGAAAAATATAAAAGAAGATTTTGCGAAATTTTTAACATAACATTTTGCATACTTATATAATATATTACATATTTGTTTACTTGTATATTTCACATATTTACTTACACTGTCTAATGTCTCGTAGTCTGCGAAGGTTTCTACCAATACGTCCCCAGTACATCGAGGATATATTAATTGTTATAAAAATATATATTGATTACATTTTGATAATAGTGCAGATGCTTCGAGATAAATCAGTTCATAGTATTCAATTATGTAAATATACATTGCATTCTATGTACATAATTGTCTCCAATTTCTACCAATCATACTCGCAGCGCGACTTATCTAGCTGATAAGACAGGTACAATCTACCGTTCTGGTTGTTTAAAAGTGAATTAGGGTTACTTGGGCTTTCCCCGACAATCACGGTCCCGCAGGACAAAAGTTCTACAAAGCTGGTGGGAGGACATCGCGCATGTTCTCAACTCTAGCACTGATTGTCAAACTCCTCAGTTAATTCTACTTAATTAATTAAAGCAACGCAATTGCGTCACAGCAGTGACTCCGAACGCTATCATTTTCAATGAAGATTCTTTGAGGCAAAGGAGAATAAAGTCAATTAATAGTTGATTGTATATATTTATGCTCGAAATTGAATATATTCACATTTTATTATATATAATTGATTGTTTTATTGTTAGACATAAATTGGCGATGTTCTGGAAACATCATGGGCGTATTTGCAGGTGAGGAAAATACGCTTTTCCGTCCAATGAACTCGTTAAACATGTTTTCGAACTGAACGTTTTTGTATATTTTGAAACTCATTAAAAGCAGAACTTAGTAAAGTTGAAAAGGTCATTGTTCTCCAACTTTGACGTCATAACAAATATATGGTTAACGCAATTGATCTATTATAAACTCCCAACCTTAGGACGTTTCTGTTAATGACCTATTGGAATGTTGTAGATGTTATACAGGGTGTCAAATAAGTCCCGTCCCCCCTTTACAGCCAAGACCAAGTTATATGGTACCAAATTATTACATTATATCAATCGAGGTGACCATAGGCCTAGAAACATGGCAATTTGGCATATTTGGCAGGATTTTAAGAATTGGGTATAAGAAAGGTCAAAGGACCTAAAGTTGACTACATATGTATATGGCAATGAATTCAACCAATTTCTGGATAGGGTTAGATGTGTAGAAAATAGAGGTGCATGGAAAAATGGTAAAAACCTTTTTGTTTCAAGTTGAATGCGAAAAAGTTTAACTTTTTGACATATTTCTGAGGTCAAATCATTCGCATTTTGACGCAATGAAAGCTGCTTAAGGAGGGTACGGTAACTATAAAGGACATAATGAAAATATAGGTGAATTTCATTTAAAATACTTGACAGTTGGTGAGTTAACATAACTTTGGGTGATCTCTCCAATGGTATATCACACTAGGTACCATCTATTAGGGTTTTAGCTGTAGCAGGGGGACGGGACTTATTTGACACCCTGTAGAAGACTATTTCATTTTTTTCAAATGTCTTACCTTATTTTGTCATTTTTTGGTACAATTGTCCTTGAGTGATTGGGTAAGAACGACAAGATCTGGAATTGCCTCGGCGAAGCTGTCATCCGTTTTCATGTTAATTTCTACGGTCGACCGACGGACAAGTTGCATTGAAGCGCACACATAAATCAGTTTGCCTTGGACTTATCTAAATCCAATGATTGAAATTGATTTTAAAAAAATATTCGAAAAAATTAAAACAAAATCCCCCCAAAATAGATAAAAATCAAGAAAAACCTTTTATTTTATTAACAAGATACTTTTTTAAAATCAACCAAAATTTCCTTTGTACAATTTCAATATTGAGAGACCTAAACATGTTATGTTTATGTCGTTTTGATCCACTAGGTTCGGAAAGATGTTTCATTTCACTCTGGAAACATGAAACAACTTTTTCTCTTGATAGTTGTGTGTGATAAATAGGATTACTATAAGTTAACAGGTAATAGTGTCTATATTGCATTGATTTATATAAACCATTGTATTAGTAGACAGTATGTTCATAAGTATCACATATCCACTACTGCAGCGTCCACGAACGTTGTCTTCCCTTTTAGAACCACGAGGGTTTTTCCATTCAATGCATCATCTTTTATTATCCTGACGTACGTTTCAGCCACCTCAGACGGACTTAAAAAACAAAAATACAAAACCCATGATTATCAACATTTACATCCCCCTCCATAAGTTTGGCATCTTTTTTCACACAATGAATATAAACTTAGTGAAGTTGAAAAGTACATCAATCTCTTATTATGGCGTAACTATATCTATGGTTACCGCAACTGGTTTACCGTGAATTTCCAACTTTGATGATAATTCTGCTAATAACCCACATTAATATTGTTAATCGTATGTGTCAAAGACATTGTTTATTGATTATGTTTTTCTGGGTATATCATAGGTTTGCACTTAAAGTTTGCTTTACAGTTTTTACAATTTTTGGTCCTTTCCTTTGGTACTTGAATTTAGTTACTTATTTATATTTAGTTTAAAATGTCTTACCTAATTTTGTCATTGTATGTATTCTTATTGTCCTGCATTACTTTGTCGAGAACGACAGGATCTGTAATTGCCCTAGCAAAGTTGTCTTCCGTTGTCATGCCAGTTTCCACCGATGACGGACAAACAGCATTGAAGCGTACACCCCAGTCATTTTGCCTGGGACTCATCTAAATCCAGAGATATATAGAATATCGTAACAGTAACATGATATAAAAAATTCATCAAATTAAATACAAGTAAACGTGTCCTTCAGTTATTACAATCAGTTCAATTATTAAATCACAAAGACAGTAGAATAAAAGGAGTCTCAAACATGATGCATTTCTCTAATATCTCAGGTTATACAACTACATATTAATTTTTGTTATATGAATTAATTTAAATGATAGTGCTAAGGGGAAACAGTCAAAGGGAAGAACAAAAATGAAACACTCATGTTTTGGACTTATTTTCCCAAGTAGTATGTTTTCAAAATTATAAGAAAACCATTTTTCTGAAGGATATAAATATCAATTTTGGATCACAGGTGTTTTTTACCACTCACCGCCATACTACGAACGAATCCGACTATCCCGTGTTTTGCTGCAGCATATACAGGGAACGTACCAATAGGAATAACACCTAAATGATTGATAAACTTTTTGTCAGTATGAATTTGATTTTTCTGATGATCTCTGCATCTTTTCATTATCTTACATCATTCATTTATGATCATTAAGCTTTGATTCTCAGAGTCTGGCCCTAATGAAGCATGTAAGCATCCCCAATGACATTACATGATTCACATGGTCAATTTATTTAAAGTAAAAGCGTTTAACAACATATCTAAGATAATATTTTAATGTGTGTGATAATTTATGACAGTTTATTACTAGTAGTATGTATGTAAATATGGTTTAACCATTTAATTAAAGGGAATGCGAAGTTTTGTCCCTTAAACTTGATAATAAGTTAGAATAAAGATACATCTTTCAATCTAACTTCATTTTATTGTTCTATCATTATCCCCTTAATTGTTATTGAGCCCCGGGTCTGCCCCGGGTTTTGCATGTGAAGGCCCAAATGCCCTAATACGTCACTTCCGCTGAATAGAAAAAAGTAGTATTCAAAAATAAATGTAGTCCCAACACAATTGTGATCATGCCGAGTCAGTAAGCTAGTATGTAGGCACAGTTGCCATCTTTTTGCAATGACAACATGCCATTTCTTCTGAAAATGCGTTTATTTGGGTTATCTGAAGGAAATTTTCGAGTCAAGTGGCGTATTAATTTTGCCTTCATTTTTGTGAATTTCAATTTGTGTCGGCAGAGAGAGGGGGTAGTGTCACAATTGACCAATTATTTCAAAAAGTAGATGTTTGGCCCCTATTGAGTTTAGTGTCAAAATGTAGCTTAGACATAGCTTTAGAACCTCAGATAGGCCAGTGAGGCCACATAAATCCATAACTCGAGATAAAAAGTCAGGCGTTTGCCCTTTTGCCCATTGACTAGTATGGTGACGTGAATTAGGGCAGTTTGGCCTATTAGTCCCATGTGAGAGTGACCAAAATTTTTTTAAAACTACTCAGAATCGCCAAGAATTGAAGTTTATTAGTATGAAACATATTCTGGACGGGGCAAAAAGGGGAATTTTCTTGAACAAATTTAAAGTTTTTGCTGAATAAGCAGTTTTCGCTTTTTAGCCCAAAAAACACAGATTTTGACGATATTTGGCCACAATTTCGTCCTTAATGACCCCAAGATGTCATATGTTGTCGTAAATGGGCAAGCCAATGAGTTCCTGTTCATAATAAAGATTGAATTTTCCATCTTATGGTTTTTAGTAAAGAATGAAGGTACATATCAGGGGTACAGTCAGAGATTGGTCAGTTAAGTGTCAATTTTTTATGTATTTGTCCACTCTGAATGACCAAATTCGAGCTAAAACTATCTCAAAAGTCCCAATTCTCCAGGCCAGAGTCAAATCTGATCAAATTTGTCATCATTTTTCAAATCAGGAGGTTGTTGAATGGAATAAAATATCAAAAAATGATGATTTTAGTAAAATTTTGCCTAAGTAGGCCAAATTTGCCCAATTTTCCTGGTTCACGGTTCAGTGATTTTGGCTAAGAATCGCAATATGCAATTAAATACTCAATTTCTTGACACGACATTGTAAAATGTCACCATCAGGTAGTAGATTACATGATGTAAATGGAAAACTAGTCAAATTTAAAGGAAAACCATTGGGTTCTTGGGAAAATGACCCCAGGGGTAATAAAGTAGCCATATTTTTCATAATTGCTGTCAGAATATTCTTGAACTGCACAAAAGTACTTGAAAAACTCTAGTAAATTGGAAAAACGCAATTTCAAGCAAGAAATCATCCAACCATGTTGCTATTAGGCCCAAATGCCCTAATACGTCACTTCCGCTGAATAGAAAAAAGTAGTATTCAAAAATAAATGTAGTCCCAACACAATTGTGATCATGCCGAGTCAGTAAGCTAGTATGTAGGCACAGTTGTCATCTTTTTGCAATGACAACATGCCATTTCTTCTGAAAATGCGTTTATTTGGGTTATCTGAAGGAAATTTTCGAGTCAAGTGGCGTATTAATTTTGCCTTCATTTTTGTGAATTTCAATTTGTGTCGGCAGAGAGAGGGGGTAGTGTCACAATTGACCAATTATTTCAAAAAGTAGATGTTTGGCCCCTATTGAGTTTAGTGTCAAAATGTAGCTTAGACATAGCTTTAGAACCTCAGATAGGCCAGTGAGGCCACATAAATCGATAACTCGAGATAAAAAGTCAGGCGTTTGCCCTTTTGCCCATTGACTAGTATGGTGACGTGAATTAGGGCAGTTTGGCCGAACTGGACCACGGAGCTGCCATTTCAACCGTAAAGTGGTTCTTTGCGACATTGTTATGACGTCATTGATGCCAGATTGATGCCTTGGCAGTCCCAAAGTTTTGTGGCGCCATTTTTTAATCAAAAATTAAATGCCGAGTCGTTGCCATTCCAAAACCAAATAAATCATTTTAAAGATTCTCGCAATCTTTATCCAATCAGCGTTTGCGAGTGTGTCGGCTCACGTATAAAAGGCGAATCCAACTCAAATCCATGCAGGGGTGTATGAGGTACTCGAATATGAAAGAGCTCGTGAAATCTGAATTTATATGCACATGGTCAATGTTTACACATGTTTGGAGTTATTGAAGAAAATGTGATATGGGTGTGGTTCCGGATTTGAAGTCATTGCTGGAAAATATGATTTTAATACGTGAAATTATATCTATAAATACAGCACTAAAAATAACAGTACACTATATACATGTATGATTGTGTCCAGAAATGTTTGAAACCCTTACGGAAAATTCTGTCTACATTTTGTCACCATTGCTCTTTCTTCCCGCATTCTAGTGCTGTTTGAATGAATATATTAATTAATGTATTTCTAACTAAAATATATCACTTTTTTTATAAACCAAAAACATTTAGATCATAAAAAATTATTCAATACTTGAGTGAGCACGATATGCAAGGGTTACTAAGTTGACACAGTAAATGACCACTGATATTGTGTTAGTCCATGCACACAGCGTATTCTGCTAAGGCCATAAGAAGTAGATCCTCTGTTTTGCGTCCCCTTGCTTGCACGATTTTGACTAAATCAGAAAAAACACATCCAAATAGCAATCACAAGGGTCTGAAAGTACCATCGCATTTCAGAATCAGATGAAATGGCGGATAATTTGATGTGCGTCAAAATTGACAGTGTTATAATTATTTTTTCAATTCAATTTCAAAATAATTTATTTCAGTTTTCATTACAAAAATTACAACATTATACAGGCTATGACACCCCAGGGGGTGTATGACTGCCCATAATTAAATTTACAATAAACATGATAAACTGTGAACATTTAATGTGGTACATAGGTCAATACAATAATATAATATAAATACAATATACAAATACAATAATATGAGACAATAAAGAAATGAAATAAATGTTTTGGTTACTCTGTACTCAGGAGGTCAATTTTCAAACGAGATATGAGTGAATTTAATGGTTTATTTCTAATATCTTCATTGAGGGAATTCCATATATATGAACCATGGACCTTAATAGAATTTTCACCAATTCTGGTTCTATGTTTAGGAATATCTAAGTTATGACCAAATCGAGTTATACGTTGATGTATGTTTTCTCTAGTTTTGAAATAGTGATCGTATAATTTTGAAGGGAACTGTACAGATTTGCTTATAACTTTTTTCATGAATGAAACAGTTTGGATTGTGTGAATATGATAAATATTAAGTATTTTAAGATCTTGAAAAATTGGGAATGTGTGAGCTAATCTATCTGAATTTGTTATTAATCTAACAAATTTCTTTTGCAATATCAGTAGTTTATTTAATAGATTCTTACAAGCATTTCCCCATAAAATATTACAGTAATTAAGATGAGAAAAAATCAGAGAGTTATATATTATCATCTTTGAATTTAAAGTATGAGCATAATTTGTTCGATATAACATTCCTATAACATTTGAAACTTTTCTATGAAGAGCATTGATATGGGGAGCCCAAGATAATTTTGAATCAATAATTACTCCCAGGAATCCTATCTCATCTACTTTTTCAAGGTTAGAATTTGCAATTATTATTTCATTGTTCACAGATATATTTCTTTTATTTCCAAAGACCATGTATTTTGTTTTCTTAACATTTAAAGTGAGTTTATTGGCCAACAACCAATCATTGATGTCACACAGTTCAGAATTTACAGTTGTGGTCAAATTATCAAGATTGGAATCACTACATAATATATTAGTGTCATCCGCATAAATCACCAGTTTGAGTTTTTCAGAAACTAGATAGAAATCATTTACAAATATGATAAATAGGAGGGGGCCTAGAACAGACCCTTGGGGTACTCCACAGTTAACGATTGCTTCTTCAGACAAATATTTCTCGGATAAACTTTTAGAGTATTCAGTTTTCATTTTTCGATTTGATAAATAAGATGAAAACCATTGAAGTGCAATTCCTCTTATACCATAATGTTCCATTTTTTTAAAGTAATATTGCATGATTAACAGTATCAAAAGCTTTTGATAGATCCAAATATATTCCGATACAATATTCTTTGTTATCTAATGAATGTCTGACATTTTCAATAAATTCTAGGAGTGCCATGTAAGTTGATCTATGTTTCCGAAAGCCGTACTGGTGTAAATACAATAATTCATATTTCTCTAAAAAAGTAGATACTTTGTCATGCATTATTTTTTCAAACATCTTAGCAAATACACTTAAAATAGATATTGGTCTATAGTTTGTGAATTTATCATGTTCCCCCTTTTTGAAAATTGGAATAACTTTAGCAAGTTTAAGTTCTTCAGGAAAAATACCTGTGGTCATAGAGAGGTTATAAATGAAAGTAAGAGGATCAGCTATATGATCATGTAATACTTTAACAACTTTTGGTTTAATATCATCAATGGCTGCGGCTGAGTCCTTTAAGTTCTTGATTTGATTTTGGACAGTATTAACATCAACAGGAAAGAAAATAGAATTAATATTACGTTCGATTTTATTAACATTATCAAGTGGGTCTTTATCCGAGTTAATTTCATTAGCTAGCTTTTCACCAATTGTGCTAAAAAATTTATCAAAATTGTCTGCTATGGATTTTCCATCATCAATTTTTCTTCCTTCATGGATAAAATTATCATTAAGGATCTTCTTAGGTTGTTTACGTTTCAAAATAGAGTTTATTACATCCCAGGTCTTTTTTATATTGCCATTGCTAATTTCAAATTTTTTCTTATAATGAAGCTTTTCTGCATTCCTGATAATATGATTAAGTCTATTTTTATAATTAGTGTAAGTGAGTCTATTTTCATCAGTTGGACATTTTTTAAACTTAATATATAGTTTATTTTTCCTCTTAGCTGAAGTAATAATACCCAGGGATATCCATGGTCTTTCTAAGTTACAATATACAATTGTTGACCTCTCCAGAGGTCAACCGGCAAAATTGTATACCGAGACTGTAAACCGAGAAACTACTGTTGACAGAGACCGAAGGTCGAGGTCAACAGTAGTTTCAAGGTTTACAGTCGAGGTATATGATTTTGACGGTTGACCGAATGGAGAGGTCTACAATTGTTTTGTTAGTCAGAAGAAACTAATAATACACATATAGACGACAATCATATGGCTTCATTTCACAATCCTTTCTCCGAACCACGCCAGTGATATTAGTTAAACTCTCTTGTTTTCGGCACATCACTGCAAACTCACTAGTAAAGAAATGTTAATTTTACGTTTCTATTTGTATTTTTGCTATACTTGTCGACTAGTAAAGTCAAAATATCACTTTCATCAACAACTGACTTTACTTTCTTCAGGTCCGTGCATCAACGTTTACAAAATGTCCGTCTACCATGTTTTTTCTGTAAACATTGTGACGTCATATTTCCCATAATTCACAAGTGTAGTACAGTAACATACGCGGTCAATAATATGATATCCCATGATGCACAAGTGAGGTACAGGCAAAAATGTTGACCGCTAATTGACCAATCAGATGCGAGTATTTACACTGAGGTACTAACAATAAGTTTTGACAGTTTTAGTTAATATTGGGAGACATCTATTGTACACCTCAGTAAATTTGTTAATAAATATTGAATATACTTCATTGACATTGTCCTGTTGTTTTAAATCAGTCCATTCCATGAGACATATTTCATCTTTAAATCTGGTTAAGTTCTTATCAGAATATGAACGATAACTTATTTGACATACATTGTGTTTTTTCTTATTTTTTACCCTTGAATAATAGCTATATTTTTATATATTGTATAAAATGTATAGATATGTGTTTGTAATCACTGCAAATTGGGATGTCATCCTTTTTTATGCCCCTAAAATGTATATATTTCTCAGCAAACAAGTTTGTTTTTTTTTCTTGAGTTTGTGTTTGTTTTCCTTGTACCCTTGCATGATTTGGATTTTGCCAGGACGCAAAACAAAGAATCTACTTCTTATGGCCTAATATACATTTGCTAACACCCCCACTTTCATAGTGAAGTGACTAATTGGTTTATGTTTACGTTTTAATGTGTTTTGGGTTCCTTGTTACAGCAAGGTGGGCCAGTAAAGTAGACTAACATGTTTGCATGGCAAATTTTGATCGAATAAGTGAGACACTTTAAAGGAACTAAAATAATACGTATATACCACCCATAATAAAGAACGATTTCAATAGAATATTAACGACGGCATTTTCGGAATTGCTTTTTACCTATCCAGACATGGAATGCAGGTTACATTTATTCGTTATTTACACTTGAAATAATCTGGGATTCGTGACTTTTTAACTTTCATTACGTCTAGCGCTAAATGCGAACACAGAATGCTTATTCTATCAGGCGAATGCAAATTATTTTAATAAAACATAATGCAATTAATTCAACCAACTCATCTTAAACTTCCAAGAATGCAATCCCGGTGATGATTTAATTTGCTAGTCTCATTACAAAAATACGTGTCCGTACTTTAATATTCATTGCATTTATGTTTATCTTTAACACAAGTATTTGCAGAAAAATTTAAAATTGAATTTTAGAAACGTATTCAATTACTATCATGCATTCTTAGCCTCACGTCACATTTTACGGGGACCGTAAGGTCTATCATTTCTGCGGTAAGTAAAATTTCTACAGTTGCCTAAGTATTTCTGCAGTCAGATAATTTAGCAGTCACATTTGCTAAGATAGCGGCGTATTTTGATTATGAGTAAAAACAACGATTCCCGTACGGCTGATAAATGATGACGCACGATCAGCATAGGGCGGCCCTACGATGTGCGTAGTTTTTCTTGAAGGCATCCACAAAGGGTTCTATGGTTCGGAAAGGTCAATTGTAACCTATGAAATCCAAGCGCAGCAGCAAGTCGACCGTGAACCCGACGCACGGCCGCCGTGGGACCTAAGGTTTGGCTGCTGCTTGTTGATATCTACGGTGACCACAGGAAAGAAAAAGTTATAACTCCGACTCTACGCCCTGTAAAACTTAATATGCCGTGTACGTAGACCGCAATGTGACCTTAAGGCGACAGTAGTTTTCGGTCGCATTGAGCAAATGTGACTAAAGCTTTTAAAGTTCCACTTAGTTTAGAGGAAACGATATGGAAAAACAAAAGGTTGTATGCCATGAACTGTACTTACCACGGATGTTATATAATTAAATTCGAGCTCGAAATCAGGAATTGTTTTTAACAAAAAATAAATATATATTAAAATAAATATTAAAAATATTGGCGTACTATCAATACGGCAATTGCCTTATCGTCTTTGAAATGAAATATCTAATCGACCCCATCGTCTCCCCGCATCACTGAATGTTAAACATTACGTATTATTCTTTGAAGTATGACAGTGGCATGTCCTTGTAAAGCTATTGCCAATCTTAATATTTAGGAGATTGACATTCACATAAGTATCATTTAGACGACGTCGATTTTTCGTTTTTTGTTTGCGTTTTTCATCAGAATTTAAATGATTAAACACTTTATGGAGTTACTGTTTCATTGGATTACTGCTTTTCGTTTTATTTCTTTCATTCTCCAATATCCACCTATTCATATTTGAATAGACTACTACAGATTAGATAAGAAAGCAATTGCAGCAGTTTGCCTATTTGCCGACGTATACCTTATCGTTATATAAAATAATTCTAGTGGATATTCTCAAGTGGAATATAATGCGATGACTTTTCAGTCAAAACCAATTAAATTCCGAATCGCACAGCCATTATCGCATAAGTTTAGTGATTTTTCTACCTAGCCTATAGGCCTACTATATCACATTGGAGAAAATAAATACAAACATTTGAAAAAAGACATTGCAACAATCCAATTTCTATGAAGAATATACTGAAACAACCTTTCCAAATATATAATATGATATGAACATGAACATGAACATGCGGCAACAATGTTAAGCGAACAGAAATAGTTATAAAATAGCAGTGAAATGTGTTCTATTTCTGCGATCCGAGTATGACGTGCGACACTTCCCAGGCATCAATTTTAAGGCATCAATGACGTCATTGATACATATGGCGGCATCCGCAGCGATCCAGATATGGGTACTTTGAACTTGAATTGTATATTAGTTCAAACACGATATGTCCAATGAGTAAGCTGAAGTGATAGATGATGGTTATAAGTAGTCATCGTATAAATTAGAACATGAGAACTTCGCATTCCCTTTAAATTAAGGTCTTTCTCTCAATAATTTTTCTGGCCACAGTCACGATTTTGGTCTTTTAACAATGAACAGAGAATAACATTTTCGGTCATATATTGCGCCATAAATCATAGAATCTCGGTCTTTATTCCTTAAGAAGAGACTATAATATTCAGGGTGTCCGAAACAATTTCCAACGAGAAAAACATGAAATAATTTTGTTAGTGGTGGAGTAATATTCTTGAAATATTTGAAAGTATTTTTATCGAATTGAATTGAATTGATTGACATTTTAATTTGGCTTGATACTGTTTTAACATATGAATGTACGTCTTTGTTGACATCGTATTTTTGTTTTTGGGCAGATATATTTACCGACTATTGAAGACGTGAATATTACAAGGCCTCCTCTCCCTCCATTATTGCAACCCATAAACTCCAAGGCGGTCATAGTACATCGGATCTGAGCCTCCTAGACATATAAGAACAATTCAAATCTGCTTGCAACAAGAATACAAGTAAGTAATAACCTGTTACCTTGGTGATCCGAAACTAAGACCGAAATTGCCAATTTTAATCCAATATTCTTATATTGTTAAGAATCTTGCAGCTTTGTTGAATTTTCTAGAAGCTGTCGTATCCTCCCTTTCTGAATTTTGTTTGATTTTCGACTGCGATAATTTTATTCCCCTTTTCAGAAGCAAATATAATGTGAAACTTACAAAATTGATTGCAACAAGCCGAGTCCAATTCTGCTCATCTAGAATACCTGCGTTGTTAACCATGATTGTGACGTCACCAAATCTGTTTTTTGTCACTTTAAAAACACCTGGAGAGTAGTTTACAGAGATAATTACACTAAACATCAGTTTTTGTTTTTAACCTGGAGAAGAACTACATAAACAAATTGTCCACTTTTCTTCTGCATCCTTCCAGGCAGGTGTCCAGATCCGTTCCTCATTCATTCTGGATTTTGAAGTCCTGTCGATCGGAGGATGTTGCCTCTGGTGTGTATAGGTTGGCACGCTGGACTTCTAATGCAAAGGTCCTGAACCCTTGGATTCTGTTAAAGCATGTCGCAAACAGAGCTGGATTATGTCAACTAGTACACCCCGGCAGGGAGGTGATTACTAGAGCGCTGCTGACTCGATAAAAGGCTGGTGCTGAACAAATCTGCCTACTGTCCTTGCCAGGATAAAGATACCAGGTACTGTCAGATTTACGGGGATCTGTTTGTTTTAAAAATGAGCAGATTCTAATATGCATTTAATCAAAGAAGAGTTTTTAGTCATGAATTGCTTGATTTTTTCATGAAATTCAATAATATAGAGCTTTCTATATAAGTTATTTTGAATACGTATATACGCAAATCTGTACTTTAAAAAGTCAGGTATAACACTGGTGAGAAACTTTTGAAATGAAGATTAGGTGCTTTCATCCTTCAAATCACATCATAGTATTCGGCAAGTATGTAAGTCGTGATTTCTGGTTTAAAAGTATGATTATAACAACAATAGAGCAACGAGGAAAATGTTCTAATGAAATCTATTTTCCCGGTTTCTTGGGAACCTTTCACCCTAGTTGTGTTTACCGTCGTCATTTAAAAGTTAAAGTTACAGTATAAGTTAAACATTTATATCCAAAGCTGTCTAATAAAGTTGTGCATACGTACTCCTAATGTCGTCCTCCTTTGTTACATCACATTGTTGAAATATAACACTATCCTCATAGACTTGTCCAAGTTCCTTTATTGTGTTTTCACCCTGTATACTATTAACATCAGCAATGCATACCTATATGGTCAAATCAAAAACAATACCAAATAGTCGATACTATTGAGTTGAAGATGTAATCACCGGAATTAGCATTTAATATTTAGTCTTTTATTTTATTATATCAATGGAATTTCTTTCACAAACACAGAATATACGAAACAAGCGTGCATCTTAAAAACATTTGAAAACATTTGATGAAGCTATGTTAAATAAGTATGTATCTCGATAGAGAAAAGGCAGGTTGCCCCCCCCTCTGTTGTGTTAATTCGTGGGACTGTCGTTGACAGGGAAATACATTGTCATCCGTTTCACCAATTGGTCGGATCTTATCCAATGCGAGAGCCTAACGATATACTAAATATGTATACTTTGCAAAATATTGAATTAAAGGAATGAATAAATGTACCTGAATAAATTAAAGTTCAAATCTTATACGGAACGTTATAAGAAAAGTAGGACTCGGTTATCATTAAATTTCCATTAAATCGATGAAAAGCTGGGCTTGTGTAGCTAAGTTACTTTGGTCAACTAAATTGAACAGTTGTTTCAGGACGTGCGTTTTTCAAATTATCGCCCTCTTGTTTATAAACGCTGGCATACCAAAGGGCTTTATAACTCCGACTTTATCGTGGTAGGCTTGTATAGACGGGTAACTTACTTTGGCTCCGAGTTTGAGTAAAGATATCGCCACTGCTTTACCTATGCCCTGGGCCCCTCCTGTTATTATGGCGACGCTTTCCTCAATTTTCATTGTTGTCATAAATTGCAAGCCCTTCTCCAACCATTGATTGTTACCACATTGGACTCTTGGTATCAGTTGGGTAATAAGTCAAACTATTTATCTCTGGTTATGTCATATCATATCATATAAACAAAGTTATCACATACTGTATAAGTGGTAATTTTGCCTAATCATTTAATTTGCCTATTTCCTAATTTTTGCCAGGTTCGGAAAATTAAATGTCGGAAATATTGTCTTGATAATGTTATCCAATGGGAGGTTTCTTGTCATTAGGAAAATTAAAATTAGGAAAATGATGAAATTTGACCATTCGGAAAATTAACCACTCGGATTAAATACCACTTATACAGTATTCTAACGATACGCAGTTGGCCAACTGTCTAAAGTGGCTGTGATTTTTACGAAGATCGTGAACAATCATCAACTATTATCAGTTTTGGTTCAAATTAAAGGATGGCTAAATTGAATATTTGCCGAAATGAATATTTACTCACAGGTATTGTAAAACTTTTAATGACGTGTACGATCCTCTTTGAAAATTGACTATACCGTATTTGTAATAAAGATACATGTAATTAGTCCTTGCCTACCCCGTATTCTCGTGCTGTACAGTTCGGGGTAGAGAAAATAAGATCTATGTGATACTTCGTTTTTTATTGGATATATTCTGATTCGATGTGTAAGGTAAGTACAAGATGTACATGAAACACGCGTGTTATCAAATAAATGACTGTGTTATAAATGAAGTATTTGTGTTTTTTACAAGTAGTTTGAAGAATGGGTAAAATAACGTGTATCCGGTAATTAAAAATTAGTAAAATCAGTTCTTGCACAAGAGGAAATAAAGTTAGAGAAAGTTTAGTATATGCTACACATTATCTCTCGCATCCTTTAACGCCATTATTTTCAGCTAATATATTAACCCCTTTACTTCCAACCTGTCTTAATCTGAGCCTGTCTCAACGGGTACGCGTGCGAAGTTTAATGACCCTAACATGTCAACTGCCTAAAGAAAATATACAAGTTCTTATATATAGATGTCACACGTTTAATCCATCGAATAAAATAAAAAAGTCTAGTTTGTAAAATATAAAAGTTGAATTTATTTGTGTTATAGTTTTACATACAGGTTTTATCAGACGGTAAAGAACTTTGATAAAAAGGACATACTTGTAATGCTAATTTTGCTCTTATTAATTATATGGTGCTTCGACCACAAAGGTTATTCATGGAGAAAACATGTATATATCTTAAAGCATGAGCGCATGTCTAATAAACAAATATTACCCGAGGGAAAAACCCGAGTGGATTATCAGAATAGATTATTTTATACGAATGAATGCTTTTTTGTTTTTTATTACACTGTTGAATCCCACACATTCATAATGAATCAATAATCCAAAGTTTAATTCATTTAAAAGTCAGGGACACCGAAGCTTATTTGGCAGCTCTTATAGACAATCAATTGGTAGTTGTACGTGTTGCGTGGGTCCTGTCGCTGTAGTTTCCAAGATACAAGAAACTCGTCTCTGCGATCACAATTCACGGGTGTCTGTCCAAGATTTGTAACGATTGTCCTTCAACAAGTCTCGCTGGTCCAACAACAATCCGACAATTTGTATGACGTGCTCTCTGAAATGATAAAAGTTGCTAGTCCTACTATTCCATAGTCTAAGAGAGAACATAACCTTCTAATTGTATCAAGGCATTTCGATATTAGACGAGGAAGGATTTGAAATAAGAGATTGTTTTAAAGGTTAAACCCATCCCCTCAAATCTATGTTTGCTGATAATCTTCGGGTTTTTGCTCGGAAATATGTCTCTCATTACAAAAGGTAAAAAACGTTAACATTTTCATTCGAATTTTTACACATTTTATAAGACCCAAAACGTTTATCTAAACATATTTACAATAAATTGGATTATCATTATATTGTTTAAATTATTGTTTCAATGTAATTACCAGTTGTTATAAGACAGTGTAATTACACAAATCTGCTTATTATTGTCTGTTTAATTTTTCAAATATTGGTCAAGCAGATTCAACAAAATTGTGTGAATCATTTTAAAAATCATAATTTCAAACATATGAGTTTTTTTTCTATTTGAAAGTTTTATCTATAGAATTTATCCTTATCATTGGTTGTGGGCTCTCGTGTTATTACGCAGAAATAAACAAGTATCAGTGTACTATAGCCACATAACATGATGGGGAGTGGGTGACATTGTTTCTCGTTAAACTAAGGTTTAGGATAGTTTTTTTTCTTAGGACTGATGTCCTCTAAGATTTGTTCACATTCTCGCTGTTCTCTGTAACAATTTTTGGCATTTTCCATGTGGCATTTAGTGCATAGGTTTATTCCTCATTGCACTCGTGATTTATATTAAATAGGAGTGATAAAGCGATGTAATTTGAAACATGCAAGGTAAAAATAAATAAAACTTATTGTATGCAATTATTGCACTTCATTTTCAGTTTCACAAAAAATCTAGTATATATCGCCTTTTCATCCCAATACAAAATGATTTGTTCTCGCTTGTTAAAACTTTAAATTCCTATATAAAGATTTAAAGTTTCGTATATATATTATACGCAAATCTGCGAATGTCCAGAATTTTCAATTCAGGATAAGTCCAGAGCCGGTGGATCAACAAAAGTTGTTTTGCCCTTGGTAACTGCCAACGACGCCCCATTCAACGTTTCATCTTCTATCAGCTTAATCATTGCATCAGCTACTTCGGATGGTCTGCAAAAAGACAAAAGGATGGCTTCATTACTTCATCAACTTAAAACCAAGTCATTATCAGAACGACCTGCAAGAATCAATCAGAAATCAAAGTAATCACAGGTAACCATTTATATACCGAACTCCCCTAATTTCTTTAAAATAGACTGATCCATTAGACTCGTCTGGAGCCATATTGTATTTATACGGGGAGGTATACGTAATGCAATAACCCTACTATCACACCAAACTAGTTCTCACTACGTTCTCGAAAACGGGCTTAAAGGGTTCCGATAAGCATCCCGTATAAAAACAATATGGCGGCTCCAGGCGAATCAACTGGATCAGTCCATTTTTAAGAAATAAGGGGAGTTCTGTAAAATCCAGTTTACTGAAATTGTCTTTGAGATAAAGTAATCCGTTTATAATGATTTTGAAAACGTTATCCAAAGAGTGATTGCGTTCAAAGAATACATGTACAACAGCCAATTTAAATCCTTGTATTAGAACTAGTCCGGAAGAAATATGGGGTATTTTGGGGATCAATCGTTTTCTTCGGATTACAATGTTTTCTAAACTTTTCAGCATGAATATAGGGTTGGGACCTCAAAACCACGGAATGCCGGAGCGGCACCCTTGGGCAACTCTCTACAGAGCATTTCTCATACCCCCCTAAGAAAATCTACAGGGGGTACTATAAGACGCCTTTATATCTCAGACACTAATAATGATATTGACTTGAAATTTTCAGGAAGTATTTTTGGTATGATGTTTGATCTGTATGACAAAGATTAAGAAAAAATATATATCCGTTGCTTTAGCAACAGTAATAGAACACTATTTCTTTCCTTAAAAATGCATTATTTTGTGTGGTTTCATAATTGTCTTCATATTCTTGATTCTTAAACTATCTGAAGCACAAAAATATGATTAAAAGTGAAGATAAAATAATTCATCATATCATTTGTGTAATATGTCTAACATTTCAGTTGCTATGGCAACATCACTTGATAATCAGGTTCTTACATTTAACTTTCTTTAATGAGTATAAAGGTGGTCCAAAATAACACTTTTGGAACATTATGTACCTTAAAGATGAAACCATGTTTCTTCTGAAGTAAATAGTCAAATAAAATTCTACAACTTTATCTTACTCCCTTACCAAAGCCCCCAAAGTTTGACAATTTGGGGAAAACAGGCAAAAAACATTCAATTTTCTAGGTTCAAATTCGTAATGCATTGGGATTCAACATCAATTAGTATCCAAAAAACATCTACTGACTTTGCTTGATATTACAATATGAAGATTTTAATTATTTGACACTCGAAAGTATTTATAATTTAGAACACTAGCCCATAAAATGTTAAAATATGGTTGAGGTCAATTTTATCATTTAGCAGCATTCATTAGACAAAAGATCAATGCATTTAAAACATATTCATAATGTAATTCATTCATTACCATAATCTAGCATATAGGAGACTGCACTTTTTTATATTTAAGTTTTATATCTAGTACATGAATCATAATGAAGTCTAATGTTATCATACCGTAGAGACGTTGGCATAGTCTAGACATTGGCATAATGTCTAATTATTACAACCATTAGTTTTTCTCATCTGAGCAATGAGACTATGATGGTTATCATGAATGAGTATAGTTCTATATAATATGTAAGTTTTATCTAGTATATGTATCATAATGACATTTAATGTTATCATACAGTAGAGAGGTTGGCATAGTTTAGTTATTGGCATAATGCCTAATTATTACAACCTTTGGTTTTTCTCATCTGAGCAATCAAACTTTGATGGTTATCATGAATGAGTACAATTCTGTATGTATATTTTATATAGATATACAGTACATGTATCATAATGAAATCTAATGTAATCTTACAATAGAGGTTGGCATAGTCTAGACATTGGCATAATGTATAAATATTATAAGCATTAATTTTCCTCATCCGAGCAATCAGACTCTGGTTGTTATCTTGCACAAGTACAATTCTATATGTAAGTTTAATATTTAGTACATGTATCATAATGACATCTAATGAAGTGTAACCATATAATAGGGAGGTTGGCTTAATCTGGACATTGGTATCGAGTCAACGCATATAAGCATATCATCTCATTAGTCAGGTGTTGGTGGTCATCATGCACAGTTGTATCCTGATGTGTTGGGTCAGTCATTTTGGCCGTCAATGTGCAAATCATGGCAAAAGTTTCTGTTATATAAAACACTTACAGGTAGTTCTCATCATCTGAACAAATAGTAGAGTCCTTGTAAAGTTATGAGGCGTCAGAGCCAGGTGTTTGAAAACTAGCTAAAAAGATTAATGTCAATCACTAAAGATGATGTCTTCAAATTTTCAAGACTCCTTACAGGCAGTTACAGCCAGGCTGTTCAGCTGGGTCATTCTCAACAAGCAAAAAGCTCTTAGTTCTCATCATGTGACTATATACGTAGAATCCTTATAAAACCATGAAGCATCAAAGCCAGGTGTTGGAAAGTAGCTAGCTAGTGTGAGTGAGTGTGCTCGTGTAAGGTGGCATCTTTGAATGAGTGAGTGTGCTCGTATATGGTGGCATCTTTGGCTGAGTGAGTGTGCTTGTGTAAGGTGGCATCTCTAGATGAGTGAGTGTGCTCGTGTGAGGTGGCATCTTTGGGTGAGTGAGTGTGCTTGTGTAAGGTGGCATCTTTGGGTGAGTGAGTGTGCTCGTATGAGGTGGCATCTTTGAATGACTGAGTATGCTCGTGTAAGGTGGCATCTTTAGGTGAGTGAGTGTGCTTGTATGAGGTGGCATCTTTGGGTGAGTGAGTGTGCTTGTGTAAGGTGGCATCTTTTGGTGAATGAGTGTGCTCGTGTAAGGTGGCATCTTTGGATGAGTGAGTGTGCTTGTGTAAGGTGGCATCTTTGGGTGAGTGAGTGTGCTCATGTAAGGTGGCATCTTTGGGTGAGTGAGTGTGCTCGTGTGAGGTGGCATCTTTGGGTGAGTGAGTGTGCTCATGTAAGGTGGCATCTTTGGGTGAGTGAGTGTGCTTGTGTGAGGTGGCATCTTTGGTATATTGCATGTTGAGTAAGTGGTTTCTGGAGTTAGTGGCAAGTTGACGATCTAACCACGAATGTTGAGAACCAAATGTTGGCGGCAACTGTTCACACGTCACACTTGCAGCTGTGAGCAATGGCAAACCTGGTCAGACTTAATGCATATTGCTGCTTGGTTGACCAATGGAAAGTCATCTTTAGTTGTTTTCAATAATAAACATTTTAGCTAGTTTTCAAAACCCTGGCTCTAAATTGTAAATGATTCTGCTGAATGGGTTGTAAAGGATTCCAATGTCTGGATTGTATGCAAACCTTGCTAGTCTCCACTGTATGATTGCATTGGATTTCAGACTTGTACTAAATACAAGATTAACATATAAAATATAGTGTCCTATAAACTTAACATTTGAAGATGTTTTAATGCCTTGGTTTGTATATATTTCTAACTTTAAATGCTGCGAAATGGTAAAATTGACCACACCCTCTTTTCAACATTTTTTATGGGATAGGATTCTAAAATGTTTCAAATAAAATACTTCCCATCATCTAATAATTACAATCTTCATATTGTTATATCAAACAAAGTCAGTAGATGTTCCTTGAATACTAATAAGTGTTGCATCCCAATGCATTTTTAATTTGAACCTAGAAAATAAAGTTTTTTTGCCAGTTTTCACCAATCATCACATTTTTGGGGCTGTGGGGAGGGGTTCTACAACTCAAAGTTATACATTTTTAACAAATTCAAGTGACTATTTACTTCTAAAAGAGCTTCTTTACCTAGAGAACATACCTTTAGAAAAAGTGTTATTTTGGACCACCTTTATACTCATTAAAGAAAGTGAAACGTAAGAACCTGATTGTCAAGTGATGTTGCCATAGCAACTGAATTGTTAGACATATTACAGAAATGATATGGTGAATTATTTTATCTTCACCTCTAATCATGCTATGTGCTTCAGATAGTTTACGATAGTTTAAGAATCAAGAATATGAAGAAAATGCTGAAAACCCACAAAATAATACATTTCTAAGGTAACTAATAGTGATCTATTACTGTTGCTATAGTAATGGATTAGGATTTTTTCTTGATTTTCACCATACAGATTAAGCATCATACTTAAACTAATTCCTGAAAATTTCAAGTCTATATCTTTATTAGTGTCTGATATATAAAGGTGTCTTATAGTACCCCCAGTAGATTTTCTTAGGGGGGTATAAGAAATGGTTTGTAGAGAGTTCCCCAAGGGTGCCGCTCCGGCATTCCGTGGTTTTGAGGTCCCAACCCTATATTCATGCTGAAAAGTTAAAAAAACATTGTAATCCGAAGAAAACGATTAGCTTTGAACTTTCTGCCAGAATAAACTGCTTTGTTTCATTTGTAGGATATTTCATATGCCAAGCTGTGTGCTATTACGTTATGGGGAAATTTAGATGCCAATTTTTCCTTATTATACACAAATAGAAGATCCTGAACCTTCACCCATAAATGTGGAATTGATTTGTCAAAATAAAAATCACCCTTTTATAAATGTGTGACGATCTATAAATACTTATGCTATATAACAGTTAGAGGTGTTGACACAACGATCTCGAACCTGTGAACCCTTGAGTATTCAAAACGTCAAAACGTTGCAGAATCCGTTTTAAACTGTGTGCGAATGGAATGAACGTAGCTACAACGTTCTACGGTCTGTCATGGACTTTCCCGGACGGGGTATGTGATTTAGAATTATGAATCGATTTAAAATTCGATGGCGACCATACCGTTCTGTAATCAGGTCATGATCACCTTCTAGACTAAAGGACGCGTTATACGACGTTGCACACCGACGTGGTGCGACCTGAACGAACTGTGAATGAGATGGACGTATTGAAGACTATGAACGAAGTAGCTAATTATTTTAGACATATTTCCCGACCACAGCCAGATTGAGTCCGTTTTACGACGTTTTCGTAGGACTTGCAAGAACGGGTAAGAACTAGTTTGGTGTTATAGGGGGGTTAAAAAGACAGATTTTCTAATTTGCAGTTTTGGTGCTTGTGTTTCAGAGCATGTCTGCACGGAAAATGAGATATCTTTTAATATCCAAGTTGTTAGTGTTATCAAGCATACCGATCTTTTTCCACATCACCCCTCCATCTACAAAAAAAAATCATGACAATTCCTTAATTATTAAATTATTCCAAAATTAGTTGGTGGTGTTTTTGTGTAACCCAGTATCATAATAGAATTATAAACAATAATATATGAAGAAACTTACTGTATGATCTTTTCAAAATGAATTGATGTCATTGCTCGTTCGAAATCAAGAGGATCGAGTGCTTCTCGGAAGTGGTTTATGCTTGCCATGTTGGTATCAACAAGACCTGGACAAACACAATTGAAGCGTACATCCCAATCGTTTATCCTTGGACTCAACTGAAGTAGAAAACACACTGTGAAATGATGAGTATTTTTACATCAATCTTTTTAAAAATTGATAAGTACAGATCCGAGGTGTTTGTAATTCGAAATTTGAAATACATGTCATTTCAAACAAAAATGGCATTTTGTTTCATTTTGTATTCAAATTACCAATTTTGCTAGATGGTGGCTTGCTATGATCATGCTTCATCATTTTAAGGGAGCGTGTGAATATCGACTGTTTCTACTTACCGCCATACTACGAACAAAGCCAACAAGTCCATGTTTTGCCGCAGCATATATAGGACAGACTGCTATGGGTATAAGACCTGAAATAATTGAATCAAGGTAGATCCTTATGTTGAGGAATGTTATTAATTTTTATGATTGTCATACCTGGTAATCAGAAAAAAGAATGGAGTTAGATTTATCGATTCCATGCTAGAAAATATTTATCGATTCCATGCTAGAAAATTCAACAAATCAGCAAGATTCATTTTTTCACGAAAACTAGAGGCTGACGTTAATACCAGTTCGGTACTGAATCGAGCATTTACTGATATGAAAATAACAAACCGGTTAACCGACGTTGACCCCAAGTAAATAAATTTAAAAAATGCATTTTTTATTTCACTCATTCAATTCACATTTTCATTGGTTGTCATGCTTTTATTCACGATCTACTCTATAAGTATTTACATGTCCATATTTGGTGGTTTAGGAAGTGCAGGTTAAGGTTAAGGTTCAGGTTCAGGCTTGATTAGGGTTGTAGATGATTTTGATGTGCTTTTTCTTCAAAGTCACATTCAAAAACCGAGAGAATAAGTACACCTAATTACCGGGAGTTTGGAGGAGGGTGTAGAACCATCTCCATATATCACATCGCATGTCGTCTGCTTACGATACGTTTGAAAAATGATTTGAAATTTGTTTACTTTTAATTTAAAAACAAAGATACATCTTGATACAAAAGATAAATAAATAAATAAATTTACTTGCATTTTTAAGGTTGTGCACGGTATGGTATATAAATATGTTAGGTCTTCTAGGATTTTTCTGAACCGATATGCTTTTAAATATGAGATCTATTTAAAAAGGGACAAGGCCACAAACGTGTACAAGTCAGCAAACAATGGTCTAAAACGATTCAGTAATAAATACTTGTAAGTGATTTGTAAGTGATGTTATCATAACTAAATCAATGATAGTGCTGACTTGATAAATAAGTTTCCAAACATAATATATAGAAAATAATCGAAAATAATTAAAATGGGACGGAGGGGGAGTGATTAGAAAGGGGGGGGGGGGTGGAGACTTAACTTGAAAGAAAACATATCGTTTTAATATAAACTACTGCATTTATGCCCAGAAAGTACTCATGGTGAAAGATATGACTGTCTTAAATCACTTGCCATACCGCACATGGACCTTTAGAGTTATAGGACTTAAAGTTAAGTACCATTTCTTATCATGTCTTATATACATATTGCTCCCCCTCCACCCCCCCCTCCTCCTCCTCTCTGTCCCATTTCTATAAGTTTCGATCTTTTTTGTTTAACTTTTTGAAACTTATTTTATAAAATCACCAATGGCATTAACTTAGTCATAAATGGATATCCTATATATCCCTATGGTTGCTGTTTTAGTCTTGAATTTAAATAATTTGACCTAAAGCATTTTTGTGTGGTCTCGCCTTAGCCTTGACAATATTACCACGCGTGTTCTAACGTATAAATTCACAGTAAAATCACTAAAACGACATATACTGTGATTCAAAACCTCAGGTTTTCAGTCAAACTGAACAAATGTTATACAAAGTGACCGCATGAACACATTTTAACCATTTTGATAAGCCTGTGATGCTTGAAAGTATACTTTGGCAATTTCAAATCAATAAGGAAATGCCTTCATTTGTGAAACCATTGGATATTGAACAAATATTTCACTCTATTGAGGTGAATACCTGTACATCTTTTACAAGTGATATTCACCTTGTGAAAGTGCTACAGGTATTCACCGAAAATAAAGTGAAATATTTGTTTTATTATATCACTGTCTAGCTAAACATCCCTAATATTATTAAGTCATTAAGTCTTCAAATATTTTAACGAATCTAATCGGTTCGTCTGCCATTTTGACTTACACTGAACTAAATTATTTACACTGAACGAAAACAAATTCTTTGAAACTTCCCGGGAGCATGGGATATTGAACAAATATTTCACTCTATTGAGGTGGCTACCTGTACATCTTTCACAAGTGATATTCCACGAAGCCTGAAGGGCAAGTGGAATATCACCTTGTGAAAGTGCTACAGGTATTCACCGAAAATAGAGTGAAATATTTGTTTTATTATATCACTGTCTATAGCTAAACATCCCTAATATTATTAAGTCATTAAGTCTTCAGATATTTTTACGAATCTACTCGGTTCGTCTGCCATTTTGACTTACACTGAACTAAATTATTTACACTGAACGAAAACAAATTCTTTGAAAATTCCCGGGAGCGTGGGATATCGCTATTCAAGACACTATAACTTTTTTATTTTCCAACCCATATACCCCAAATTTTGCAGTTATATATTGCCAGGGGTTCTAAGTAATAATATAATGTAACAAGCCCTTCAATTTGAATTATATTATAAAAGAGGAGGAGTTCAATTAGTCCGCCACCCTCTTTGATGATAGCTTTTAGTATTAGTTGCCTTGCTGATATAGCAGTATCGGTGATATATTAGCTAAGTTTCTTTCAACCTGTCTTAATG